TTTAAAAACTGTGATATAAAAAGAGGCAAACGGCCTCTCAAACCAAACTCATGTAAATCCATCAAAATGACATGTTCCAGGTCGTATCAATAAGAAAATTGATACAGCATGTTGTTAATTTACTATAGCATTTTTAACAAAGGATTCTAATCGTACCAAATGATCAATGGTACTACGATTTTTCCTGAAACCACATTGAATATTTGTTACAAGGTAATTGGTTTCAAGCTACCAAGTTAATCTATTATTCACCACACGTTCCATGGTTTTACAGACACAGCCAGTTAGAGATATCGGTCTGTAATTAGACGGATATGTATGATCCCTGCAAGGTTTTAGTATTGGGACTACAATGGCATTACGCCACGAAGGAGGAAATTCTCCAGACGTCCATATTTGGTCAAATATATCTAAAAGTGTCATCAGACATGGTTCAGATAAGTGTTTCAGTAGCTGGTAATGTATATTATCATCACCCGCTGCAGTGTCATGAGCTTGCTCAAGAGCAGTATGTAGCTCATGTAATGAAAACATTTCGTTATAATCTTCACCGTTATTTGATTCGAAATTAAGTTTTGTCTTTTCCTGTTGTTTCTGATATCTCTGAAACTCAGGGACATAATTTGCCGATGAAGAATTTTTGGCAAGAGTTTCGCCAATATTATTTGCCATTTTAGACTTGTCAGTTATTAAATTATCACCACCTTTAAGGTGGTGAACAGCAGATTTTGAACCTTTGCCTTTAATTCTTTGAACCATCTTCTCTTGCCAAAAATTCACCATCGGCAAATTATGTCCCTGAGTTTCAGAGATATCAGAAACAACTGCAAAAGCAACCTTAAACTACTTGATTCTGTTCACCACCAAGGTCTAAGACTTTGTCTTGGATCATTTATAACTTCTCCAGTTGATAGTTTCTATGTCAAGGCAAATGGGCCTTCTCTTTCCCAACGCCGTATTAGATTATCTTTACAATATATTACCAAACTAAATTCTAACGAGTCTAACCCTGCATTTAACTGTATCTTTAATCCTCTTTATGAGGATTTGTACAACCAGAAATCTCCTCTTGTTCCGCCTCTTGGGCACAGATTTAAACCATTCATTTCTGCTGCCGGCATTGAGCTGGAGAATATATCTTCTTCTCGTCTTCTTTCTTCTCCTCCTTGGCAGTTAGTGAGACTACAAGTTGACCTCGCACTGACTAAGTTTAAGAAAGCAGAAACTAATGAATTACAATATAAACAAGAATATAATCAATTAAAAAATAAATATAATACATACAAGTCCTTATTTACAGATGGATCCAAGAATGGTGGTGCGGTTGCATGTGCCACTGTCATTGGATCCAGAACAATATCTTCTCGACTACCAAATAACAGCTCTATTTTCACAGCAGAAGCTAACGTCATATTAACAGCTCTTAAATATATTAATAAACACCGTAAATAGATACCATACATCATCTTTTCCGACTCTCTTTGTTGTCTTCAGGTTATTAAAAATATTTCTTGTAAACATCCACTTTCAATAGAAATTAGTGAATTGTATAATGAGCTTGCTGCTGGCCAATGCGACGTCGTCTTTTGTTGGTTACCCAGCCACGCTGGCATTTCTGGGAATAATATGGCTGATCTTGCTGCTAAGGCAGCACTCAATAAATCTGTGACACCACTTCTTATTCCATACTCTGATTACAAAGCTAGTATTAGAACTTACATCCGTGATCTGAAGCAGAAGAAGTGGGACACCCAAGTAGGTATTAACAAATTACATGAAATAAAAGCTTATATTGGTTACACCTACTTCGGTTGTCAGTCCAGATTTGGGGAGGTCATTATGCGACGATGTCGCATTGGCCATACGCGTTATACTCACAAATACCTATTAAAAGGTGAAGATCCTCCGTTTTGTATCCTTTGTGATGAGAGAACCACGGTGAAGCATGTCCTGCTTGACTGTGTTGAATTCTCCATCATAAGGGATAAATATTTCAATGTAAAAACAATGAAGGATATTTTAACAAATGTTAATTATCATTTCATTATTGGTTTTTTAAAAGAAATTGATTTGTTTGATGAATTCTGATTTTTTTTGTTTGTAAATAGACATAATTTAAAGATTCGTAATTTAGATTAGTAACTTAGATTGTTAGTGGCTGTACCCTCAAAGGGGGTTAAAGTACTGTAAAATTATTGTCCTCCTGAGAGGGTACGTAAGTCCCAAAACTTTCAAAGTAAAATGTAAATTTACCAAATTTTAAACGTAGTATCGTCGACAGGTTTTAATCTTCAAAACGTTTTCTCTTTATATTGTATAAATTGTTTTCGTCACGATATGGCTGAGATATTGCCGATGTGACGTTAAATATTAACTCACTCACTCACTCCTGTGGATTGTTGATACATTTGTGGATGTATGTCTTTGTACCACTGAGGCCTTTGTAGGAATGAGACGTTCTATTTTAGCTTTATAATTTTAGACCAACTGACAAACTTAGTAAGATATCAATCACGAAGACTGTACGAGAGAAGAGATGACTCCCGATTTAGACCACAGTTGTTGTTTTTCTTTTCGATACTCAGAATCAAATCTTTAATCTTGATAATTTATAGTTCTGAAAATAAAGAAAAAAAAATAGAAACAAACAACAGATACATATCCAACGGTACACTCAGCGTTGTCAGTTAATCACAACAATCAAATATGAAATTGAAGTCCAGTCAGACCAATAATAGAAATTTTAGATAGTTTCTAAATTATGTTAATATTATTTTAAGGTATTTTCTTTTCATTGACTGACAGTTACATAAAAGTACACAGACATACTGTGGAAGTTGTTGTTGAATGGAATTCCTGTGTGTTGACTTGCCCTGTCCACTTGTTTTAAGTTAGCCTATTCCCTTTTCCCCCCTTCTGTGCGCTCTCTCAAACCCAACCTTGTCAACGTTCCAAGTATCATCCATTTCAAGTGAGACCCCCCCCCCCCCCCTCCTTACAGCCTCTTCACATACCTTTCAACTCAATTTCTCCTTCGTCCTGATTCGTCATGTCATATAATCGGGTATAATATCTTCACATAGTTATTAAGTTAATGATACGTGTAACTATAATTATGAATAGCTGCAGCCTGTCGTCTGTATCTATTCTAGTAATGACTGATGTTTATACTCTGGAAAATGCACACAGCGTATCCTGTAGAACATCCTGTAATCTGAACCACTCAAAAAATCGTTCATATTATATAATTAGGTATAGTATCTTCTGATATTTAATAAGTAAACGATATGCGTAAATATACGAATAACTTCAGTCTCTTTTTTCCCCGGTACTAGTTTTTTTCATTGATGTTTATTCTTTTTACCTTCTTCCTTTAAATGTCTCCAAGATTAGTTACCCACTCATAGTTTGTTACTGTCCTATCTCTACATTCACACATCTTGTCTCTGTTTAGGTGGTAGCACAGCCTAGTAATTAAAGTGTTCGCTTGTCTCGCATAAGAACCGGGTTCGATTCTCCACATGGGTTCAAAAATTACAAAAGGTTTACGGGGTAACAGTACATCTCTCAAGATATTGATGACTGTTCCAATATGTTTGCTCTGACAATTAGTAACTTCTTAGTGCCTTAGGAAAGTAAGATACTTTATGGATGCAACTTCTTTATCATACAAATGTATATGATGCGACATTTCGGTATAGATCCTTATACCGTTGTCAAGCAAGAGTTAAGTACTGCAGTACAGAACGGACTTATATACAACAGGGATTATGTAATAACAACATGTAGGTAAGAATCAAGGAGATTAACAACTAAAAAATGGATGGTGGTAATAATGTAGTGACAATAAGTAGAAGCCAATAGTCCATGAGGCAGATACAAAATATACATGGCTGATAAGACTAAGTAGCAATGATAGCTGTTTATCAGTTCATTGTATATCCCTCAGTCAACTGAGATCAGGGATATCTCATCCAATCTGCATACAATGAACTGATAAAATCAACAGATGAGAACACTCCAGCTATAAGTGATATCATACTTTCTTATTATTAGCCAACTTCTCAAATGCCAATCAAACAGATTATTAGCGCCTTATTATATTTTGACAACCATGTGGACCGTGCTTGTCACTCTAAGGGCGGTTGGGTAACCTAGTGGTTAAAGAGCTCGCACGTCATGCCAAAGACCCGGCTTTACTGCACGTAAAGTACACGTGGGTACTTTGTTTGAAACATATTTTGTCTTTCCCCTGCCGTGATATTGCTGGAATATTGCTGAAATCATTAATATTTTGTCCATCGTTTTTTACACCGGCCCTTTTCATCAACGCTCCAAGGTGAAAACATGTTAGTCGTTTGTTTGAATCTACATTGATGTTCCCCATGCGATTCCCAAAATGGGGATAAAAATGTTTGTGGTGCAAAATGTTCTGAACAGTTCTGCATAATTTGTGTCCATGTACGCGTTCAATCAGGGAAACCGAACGATGAGGAACACCTTTGACAGAGACCTGTCATAAGCTGTTTTTGAATTGGTCTTCAACAAGCCATGCTTGTCGTAAGAGGCGCCAAAGAGGCTCACGTTGTCACGCCCGTTGACACATGTCATCGTAGCACAATTGCGTAAATCGATGTTCATGATGTCAATCACTGGATTGTCTGGTCCAGGCTTGATATTTTCACAGACCGTCGCCATATTGCTGGGATATTGCTGAATGCAGCGTTAAACAACAAACAAACAAAACAGAAACAAACTCTCGAAAGTCTCCAAAATTTCACTAAAATTTCAGTGTATAAATGTGAGTAATACGTTTCTGTGTCCACGTTTGAGTGCTTGAAACATCAGTTGCCGTTCTTTGTTAATCTAGTTTTTCACGAAATTGTACATGTACTTTAGATGAGCTGTTTGTGGTGCGAAATGTTCTGAACAAGTTCTACCTAATTTGTGTTCATGTATGCATTCATTATAGCTGTATAGCTTTTCCGGTGTTGTTACAGTGATCCTAACGGGTAAAGGACTGGATACAAGTTCAACGCTACCCGGAAATGAGCCTGAACTGGCGATTGATGGAGACGGGAATACATATTTTATGTCCAACTATACCTTGCCCGGGGAAGCCTACTGGCAAATTGATTTAGAAGGCTACTATGACGTCCATGAAATACTTATCCAATTTCCAAACATGGGTACCTCTATTCCATACACATGCTTCTGTAACCCGTGAAAATCCCGGTTAGAATTGGTCTTCAGCAACCCATGCTTGCCACAAAAGGCGACTATGCCTGTCATTAGAGGCGACTTACAGGTGGTCAGGCTCGCTGACTTGGTTGACACATGTCATCTGTTCCCAATTGCGCAGACCGATGCTCATGCTGTTGATCACTGGATTGTCTGGTCCAGATTTGATTATTTACAGACCGCCACCATATAAGTGGGAATATTGCTGAGTGCGGCATAAAACCCAACTCACTCACTCAGTCAGTCCAAGTAAAAGCCACCAGCAACTAAAAGCCCATGCGAATGTTTCACCGTAATGTCGTCACTATTATACTGAATTATTTCTGTTGTGACGTCATGCAGTTAAGACAGGTATATCGTGTGGTTAAACTACACAACAGATATATTACGTTGTCACTCGAAAACCACGTTATAACCATGTATATTTGAACGTACATCGTGCAGGAAGTCAGACTGGTTGAAAAATATCACTGTTGTCTCATACGTATATTTCAAAGATCACACGTGGCCCTGACGCCAAAAGCTTTATACCTGTTCAAAGTTCAGTACTTTTCTTACATTGAATGATTGTGGATTTTAAAAAAGACGAAACCGTCTGTTCTCGCTTTGACCGTTCCTTCCACATTGAACTGAATTTGTATTTGTTTAAAACGGTGTTTCAAAACTGGTTTATTCACTTATTACTTAAATGCTTGTTTTTCAGTTCGAAATCCGCCTGAGAACAGAACAATTTCTCTCTCCAAATATTCGACTTTTGAACCTGCCCACACTTTTCTGTGCGGCCAGAATATCCCCGGAACTACCTCAACGTGGATGTGCGAAGGGTTGTTTGCTGTTCAGTACATACGTGTCACCACCGACCAACCACCACTTGTTCTTCATGAAATAGTGATATATGCAGACCAGGCAGTGCAGACAGTGTTGGAAGGTGCGTCTGAAATATTGTTGACTTCATAAAGTCTTTACTCGCCTGACGGTGGCCTCAACTAGATGAGCCACGATCTGACCCCAATCTGCATGTATGGGAACGCCCTCCAGAACATTCTATTTGAGGGAAACACGTTGTCGTCTAAAACTTGAAAAGTTCAATTTCCTCGTGCGAATCGTGTTTTGATTGTTATATCATACTATGTCCTATGATATCTACTAAGATCCTTAGAAACTGAACCAAGACAAATTTAACAATATTTACAAAACACCCCACACAAGTGCTAGAGAAAAGAACATTTTTTTTTATGTTTACAAACGGACGTATAATCGGCATATATTCTGGTGCATCCTCGCCACACATGGGTCAAATACCGAATAGATCCATTGTGGAATTTACTGATCTAGGCGTACTTCCGGTCTGAGTCGTCACTTTCTGAATCGGCCTCTGTGTCTTTATCACTTGCCAGTCCTACTTGAATCAAGATTCTGTCAAATTCTTATTCTACTGCAATTTCCGTTGCTAGTAGCCATCTTCAATGATTTAAACATGTTTACAACATTCGGACCATTCCTTGGCACCGATTGCAGACATTTTCTCGTTTATGGTACTCTTCGCGAAGTTTTGTGAACTGCAAAAGTTTTCTTTAGCAACATAATTTTTTACATTGGCCCAAATCAACTCAATTGGGTTCAGTTCTGCGTGCTAAGGAGGAAGACGTAGTACATCATGGCCATGTTGTTTTTCAACAAAGTGTCTACTCTATAGACGGTGCCCAATTTGTTGGATTTTGCCAGACATTTTTATTGCAGGTAAGTATTCCATGCGCTTTGCAACGATGTCTTTCCGTTCCATTAAAACCTTACAATCTGACTGCGTTTTCGCCACCTAAACCCCATGTCTTTCATTTTTTTCGAAAACTTTCCTCTGAACCCTGGTAATGCAATTGACTTCTTGCCATATCATATATCATATCTAGAGTAGGCAGTTGCTTTTGTACTCCATATAACCTTTGTACAAATTGACGGACTGCACACCGGTCAAAATCATCAAGTTTGTGCTTGGAAGTCTTGGGTTTGCGTAACTTTGTTGGACTAATAATAGCAGGCCTACTCGCACCCCTATGACCTTCCGCTTTAATACATTTTAAAATTGCCTTGGAAAGACCAGTACCATTGCTAGTTTTCGATATAGCGTCTACTTTGGTTGCACACGTCTTTTCCATGTAAATAATAACATTGTAGGCTAACTCCCTTGCCTGAGAATGAACAACTTGCCCTTGCTTCCCTAACTTGGACTTGTTAAATTAATTAAAATCTGCAAACATTCAACATTTGACTCGTGTCGAGATGGTGTCTTGCTGAACTGAATCGCTCTACCAGACACGTGTTAAACAGTAGCGGTATTGAGTTCAATCCACGGTCAGCATGTATCGCACGTGCTTAATCGCCGATCTACCTGCAGCAACCAAGTGTATTCGTCTAGATTCCCTGCCCCGCCTACTTGTCACAAACGCGTACACGTACTGCGCAGGTTAGTCTAATACGAGTCCAGCAGTAGTGGTTCGCTCACCATTCCGAAGGAACGGACTCGGTTTCCAACACTGGGACAATTTAAGAGGCCCTTTTCAGGTGTGTTGAGCAGTCATATTTTGGAAGCACTGCTAAACACGGCGAAAAGCTAAGTATATTCATATGTATTGAAATTATGATGGCATCGAAGGACAGAAAAAACATTAAACAAGAACCGTGCAATCGGCAATACAGAAATAGATTTGAAATACGGAGGGTGATTGTAGGATTTTTACGTTGACGATTGCCACATACCTCCTCGGCTTGTTCAACGGAGAAAAAGTCAGGAGTTTTCAACATGACTTGTGATGGCTGGACGGAATTTGGTCTCAATCCTGGCAAGGTTGACACGTGCATTATCATCTTGAAAAAATGGTGCTGCTATTATGTTGTGCGGTAGTATTGACCTGTCTGACTCAGCCATGGACAATATGCAACGCAGTTTAGCCCACATCACCGTGATTCCAGAACAAAACTCGATTTCTTCGGACATGGTAGTCAACAATGGACCTCGATTCAATCAGAAAATATGCCATAAGTCCAACGTTGATTATCCCAGTGTTGACGTTTCCCACACCACTGACATTTCTCATCTGTAAGCTGCGGGATGACGTCTTGCTGGCAAATGTACAGACGATTTCCTGTTGCTTGTTGCAGCCAGTCCCTTAGTGCTTACACACAAAGAAACGATCAAATACATTTGAAACACCATGTAGGTAAACACGAAGTAGGTACAGAATATGAGGGCGCAATCATTATTCTCGTCGGATGTCCTAGTGAATGTCCATGTCCAAAACATTTTCAGGCTCCCCATGCGAGTCAAAGGAGCTATCAACCTCTTGGGACATTCCATGCATACAATATACAAACAGCTGACGTTGTGAAATAGGAACCTCATCATCCCATGCTATTGGTTTTCGAAATGACATTTACCTGAAAATGATTATATGATACACAAGGAACGGTTATATTTAAATCATGCGTGAAGTAATCTATCAATCAATGCATTGTATTTCTCTTCTTCTGTTCAAAGGAACGTCCCTTGAGACAATCACGACTACAACAACAGCAACGACGACAGTGTCTTCAGGTAGGTTTCAATTTTCCATCACAAAGGAAAAATAGTTCGATGTAAAAACAATGAAGGATCTTTTTAAAAATATTGCTCCTCATTTTAATCCTTGGATTTTTTAAAAGAACTTGAATTAATTGATATTTGTTTACATTGTTTAGATAGTTGATTTTAATATATGTAGAGATTGAATTGTATGGTCAGAGGCTGTATCCTCGAGGTGGGTTAAAAAGTATCGTAAAATTATTTAAACCTACGAAGTTTGATATTTGATGTTTTTAAATAATGGCTAAATTTCACTACAATCACCAGTGACTGAAGGGATGGTGTAAATCCAGCTAGGGTCCGTGCAGGTAGCAAAGGTACTGTAGTTCCCGTGGTCCCCTAGTATGGTAACTAGTTTCAGTTGCTGGTGATCTCTAGCCCGTTCTTTATATTGTATTGTTCATAAACTTGATTAATTTTACATTACATGCTTGTTTAAGATCTCTATCTGTGATAATCTAGTTATTTTACTGCCCTTCGTCGACATGTTTTTCATATAATTCAATTGCATTTACATTATGAATTTGTAATTTGTTAAACCCGTTAAAGGTCCGGGTTAGAATTGGCCTTCAGTAACCCATGCTTGTCGTAGAGAGGCGACTAACAGGATCAATTGGTCAGGCTCGCTGACTTAGTCGACACATGTCATCGGTTCCCAATTGCGCAGATCGATGCTCATGCTGTTGATCACTGGATTGTCTGGTTCAGACTCGATTTTTAACAGACCACCGCCATATAGCTGCAATATTGCTTTGAGTGCCGATTAAAACTAAACTCATTCGCTCACTGTAACTTGTTAAAATCACGATATGGCTGAAATATTGCCGATGTGAGTATAAATCTTAACTCATTAACTTACTCACTCCCACTCATTCAGGTGGGCTTCACATATGATCAAACGAACCAGTCTGACAACAGTGATACCATTACGTCGATTAACTGTCCCTACTGGAAAACAGTGCATTGTGTAACGTGTTGAATTTAAGTTACAACCAGACGTCTACCAGAAATCCTTAGGGTGCAAAACGTTGGTATCAGACAGCAAAGATATAAAGGTTACAGAATTAACAGTTTTAATGAGCTACTTTAACAAACAATGCAGAGTTATGCAAATGAATACAGTGACTATATGTTATACACAGTTTCCACCTTTCGGCATGTTGAGGTTTTCTAACTTTCTGTTCTAAAACACCTCCTGCAGCTGTCACTGCCACAACACCAGAACAGTCGTCAGGTAAGTTTTGAATAAAGCTCTGTCTTGGAGAAATTACGGCGTTTGATCGTTTCTACAACCGAGCATGTGTTGCGGCATATGGACGTGTGTGTGTAATATGTCTCTGTGTAAATACGTAAATGGAGTATACTGTTGATATGTTTATACCTATGTGTTTGTACTTTTTGAGTTCACCACCACAACACCAGAACATATTTCAGGTAGTTTGGAACAAGAAAAGCCATTTGAAAGGCAACGTTAGGGCTTACCTATGTAAATTAAGAATTTAATTGAGACAGATGTGGGGATGACCATACTTCCGTTTATTGGAAGCGGCTTCCATTAGAGAGATCCAGTACTCGCAAACATAAATGCACGGTACTCTCATCATCCAGTAGATGACATTTCATATCTAGGGTATTCGTCATGTCTACCCATGTCAGAGTCGGTGGGGTAACATTATGGTTAAAGCGTTCGGTCGTCATGGCGGGCGAAACCTGGAGTTCGATTCCCCACAAGGGGGTACAATGTGTGAGAGTCCATTTTTGGGTGTCCCCGCGGTGATATTGATGACATTTTTGCTAAAAGCGGCCGAAAACATACTCACTCCCACTCTACGCGATGTCTGAGCCAGGATACGTAG